GATTATCATAATTGCATAGTAACTAGTATATTACTAACATATCTAGACTGAATTTCTGTTAAAGTCAAGATTTTTTTCATTAAAAATTAATGCTCCCCCTGCATATATTTTATTACATAATTGACATGTTACATTTGCAATACATGTACAGGCCTATATTCTTAACTGACTAAGTATCTGTTCTAACGCAATCGCGTGTGCACAGATTTTCTCCTTAAAAAGAAAGGAAAGACATTGATCGAGGGATATTCCATTATCAACACAAATGTACCGTTTGACTCGTATGAAAAAAAATGGAATCCCTTTGGATTGGGGAGATTCGTACATTCTTTCAAGCTGGTTTTTGTATATATTATGGTTACAGACATGAAAGTTATGTGAAGGCAGGTCCTCACCATATTTGGGCAGGAGTGATACTATCCGGTTCGTAAGTGACTGCGTCATATACACGCGCGCACACCACTGATCACTAGCGCCCATTGGCTAAGCACTATAGATGCACTTACTTCCGGTTCCATTAGTTCAAATGCTACACCTTGTGCAGTACACATGGTTAAGTTGAAATGACGTCAAATTTACAAACCATATGAAGAGGAAATGAAATACAATCAATCGATAAGAGAAGTCCGTGTTTTCACGCAATATTACAGAACTGTGAATAAAGCATAGAATACAACTCACATCGTGGGAACAGGCCAGCGTCTTATTTTCAGTGTTTAATTGGTTGGCACGACTAAGTTCATTCAACCGTAAACTCCTGAAAACGCATCAAGTAATATATAGCAAACTGCACATTATTGACTTTATATTATGAGATTCGGGGGAAAATTCAGGAGACTCGAATAAAAGAAGTGGTAGTCGCAACATTGATGCAAAATACAATAAACAGTTGAAAACTTCGGCGAATCTAAACAATGCAACAAGCAGATAAAACCGTCCAGTGGATTTCATTTTGAACTGTAGGCCTAAACACCTCCGGTTGGCTCAGGATTATAGGCCAATACTGCCCGATGTAGTGTCGTACGTATTACACTTCAAACGATACTGAGGGGAACTGTAGAGAAGGTAGTTCAAGGTTTGCAAGAGGTACCTCCTGCTCGCATTCCTTGTAATCAGTGTTGAGACTGCATGGCAATGAAAGTGTTCCTCCTAGCAGCGGTGGATTGGAGTTTTTTTTAAATGAAGTGGGCGGGGCACTCAGTAAAGACCACACATACCTCAGATTCCCGGCAGGATATACTTGAAAAGGGAGGAGGACAAATAGATTCGTGTGTATGCACGTTGACGTCTAGATTAGTTTATCGGTTTAAAAGAAAAATTGATTTGATAAGGATCCAATGTTTCTCGTCCGCTCTTCTGTCGCTTATGCCACGTTCGTTCGAATGTCGCGATTCATTTAATATCGAACGATATTTCAGATAAATCGTCAGAGTTTGACGAACTAACGAATCTGTCCAGAACTGACCTTATACGCAATTTAGGATTGTTAGATATTCTAACATATTTATGATTGTCTTCAAGGTGATCCGCTAAAAATCAAGACAAATACATTCGCCGTTTGTTAATTACGCTATAGTTACACAAAACGCGAGTTTGTGGATACTCGGTTTTTTGTGCTTTTGATTAAGTGACGCATCCCGATTTCTTAACAATGCTAGAACACAATATTTCAAAAAGAGTTGACCAAAATCCAAAGCTATATCTGAAAAAGGAGGATGCCTTTCCAGCCTGCGCTCGCTGCTAGTCATGCGCACAATAATAACGCCATACACCGTGTCGCACCGTCTGCTAATTACAAGCTGGAGTATTTTGCAGTCGGACCTAACTAGACTAACTACACGTTTGAATAAGTATGAGACGGAAATTATCAGTACACAAATTGTGTAAAATCCATGCAAATGACATGTGAAACGAAACAATCTATCGTTGCCAATTAGACCAGTATCACCTGTGGATGGGATAAACACTAACGTATGCACCAGGAAACTAAAGTCGGTTCCCATCGTGTAAAAGTACCTCTCAAGGAAGTAGTTCAACCAAACCTTTGTTAAACTTGACACCGTCTTTGTAGTGCTTCTATAATACAGTCAGTGTTTACTTCATCGAAACCAATGTAGATTAGTATTTGTCCAGCACTCCAGCAGTTGAATACACGTATTGTTAATATCGCCAGTTTGCTCCCGGAAGCGATATTTATTTGCCCTGCAGTTGAATATGCGTAATGTTAATAGCGTGAGTTTACTCACGGAAACAACTTGTGGTAATTCGTAGCTGGAGTCGCTCCCATAATGATGACATACCTTAGCAATTATATATGCTTCGAGCTTAACAACTGTGACTTCACCTGTACATAATAAGTCATGTTTTGTAGAATTGTACACTCCGATCGACTTCTCTTTCTACTGCATGTGGAGTTGAACATTTTGGGTTTTGCGAGTGTAGGCTCAGCCGTTCATCACGGACACTCCTCTGTTGGTTGTCTCCAATTATTCCTGCCCATTTCTTTTCGGCCGAGTAGACAACTCCTAGTATCATGACTTATCTAGAAATGCTCGGTTTATTGCCAGAAAACTTGTTGGCTGTCTTGTAATGTTGGCATTAAAAAAAACCCAGAACCGAAGCATGAACGGCGTTGCTGTTGAAACCCCTCACTTTTGAACCCCAAACCAATCCCAACTTGCCTATGCCCAAGAGCAACCCCCTATACCGAAGTTAAACACCAAAGCCTCATTTCTAACTCTAGTTATCATCCGCAAACTAAGCTGCCCAGACGGACCGTACGGAAGGACTCCGTAGGCGATGACAATACCCCTCCACTGAGCCTCTCGGCTGAGGAGTAACATGTAAACTGAGAGGGTATTGCGTGTCACGATGAAGCCTTGAAATACTGAATTTCTGTGGTTCCATAAGTTGTGTCATGGAATTTTGACGGTGAGAAAGATATGACTACACCCCCTGTAAATGAATGGGATTCGGACATAAAAGGAGAACAGTAAAAGGCAAAACTGATTATTTTTTTTTTAATAATAGTCAACACTGTGTAAGGAAAAATTCAATGTGAATTGGATTTTTTTCGTCACAACTACATTTCTTGTGAGTCTCAAGAACTATATAAACCATGGCAGTATTTTTTTTTATATTTTGTTCGAGTGAGCGAGTCTTTACCAAAAAGACCTTGAGTTTTAACACCCGGAAACGAAACCCCACAAACTTGAACGAGGCCTTGGTAAAAACTACGCTATAGCAACTAAACAAATGATGATTGCTGGCCCATGAAGAAACCTTTCTATTTTCTATTTGTGCAATATGTACTCTGTTGCATTGTGTACCCTATCGACATGGGATTTTTGCAGCTCTACGTGTGTGTTCGTGTGGTCGTGGCTGTGTTCAATGTGCTGAGTGGTTGAGCGATTTAAAGGGAAGGTCCAAACCGTATGACGATAACTCATTGGAGTGCCGACCCCAGCATCAGTCACTGAACAATTTGCTCTTTAGACTAAGCAGAGGGATGTTGAGGAGAATCACTTGGCACACCTGATGAGACCGTCTAAACTCTCTACAACTCGCTGCTCTGCGTCTAGCCCATTTGGCACGGTTACTTGTGGCGGATAACGCAATTGTCACACGTCAAACTCTGTTATAGATGTGACTGCTCTCGTACAGTCCAATATTTCCAAGTGTATAACAGACTATTTCCTGACTGCTAGTGATTCAACCTACACTATCAGGTACGTTTGATATTTAGAATTAATAACTTTTCCCACAGCTTACAGTTATTGGTTATTCCACAGTCGAGTATAATATAAATTATTTATGAGGAAGAACGAATGGGGAATTACGGGCGTATAGACTAAATATGAAAGTTCTACAACATTTGGCACTTAAGAGGGCCAGCTGTAAACAGATGGACTGTACGAACCTGCTTTCAGTCAAAAGATATCAATCGACCCTAAGGGTTACAATTAAGATTTAATCTGCATAGAACATCAACGAAAAGAGGTCACGCTTAATTGACAAAAAGGACGACAACATTTCGGTTTAATATCCAGCTTTAAAAGACATTCGTCATCACAAGCCTTCAAGACATTTTTTTAGACTGGAATTTCCAAATTCTTCGGAATAATTCTCAATTTTCACGTATAATAGTTTGCTTGCTAGCATTGTAAAATGTTCATGAAAGTAACGTGACATTAAACTTTTTATATTTAACATTTTATTTTGGTAAAGATATTCCTTGGTTTGTGTTTTCACAGGCCAATTTTTCTTAAAAAGCCTCATTCGAACAAAACCCAAGTCTTAAAGGTGTTGCTACCCTAATTGTTAATGGTTCTCCAAATTAATATTGTTGCAGCTTGATAGTTTTTGGTAAGGCCCGTGCAGTAGTAGATCCGGGTTGCTGAACACTCGGAGAACCGAGTGTGACACTTCCATTTCATCGGTGTTAACCAGAAATCATTGTGAATTCCGAACCAATATTTCTTGAAGACGAGCAACAGCCAGCTACCTTTGGGTATCACACCAAAACATTTTTTATTCTCTTTTCCACGAAAGGGAAAAAGTTGTGTTTTTTTCTCAGAAAGATACAAAAATTGAAATCGACAGTCCAGTCCTATTTTTGCATCTTTTTTGTCTCTTCAATCATAAAAGTATTTTATTTGCACCCTTTTTGTATATTTTTCAGCTATCGAACAAGAATTTTTTCTTGAGATTTCTAGGCTTTGGAAAAGGGTCCGAAAGAATGGGAGAACCGATCTGAACATTCGTTTCATAACCAGAAATTGACTTTTCGCAAAACCAATAGTTAGAAAGTTTGTTAAAAACAATTCCTTTAGGAATAAGGCCAGGAGAATAATCCTTTATCTGTAAATATTTTCATTGTATGGATTCCCTTACTGTACTGTAAACTTTGGTAATTTTTATTTATTTATTTTTTTACAGCCTGTGACTATAGACTTTTCTCTAAGACCCACCGCATTGTAAAAGAGGGTGCGTTACCATCTCAAACATCCTCCGTGAACTGAAGATCATGGAGTCTTGTAGGAGACACTCCGCCCTCCTGAAGGCAATTGCTCTGTCTTGGAGCGTCATCTGCGTAAATGTGTTTACCACATCAGCTGAGTGGCACGCAGACCTGTCAGACTATGAGTTGGCCAGCTTTGACAATCCTGATATTTTGGATGTACTCCAAAGACGTGCATCAAAGTTCAATCATTTTACCTTGAGTGACCATGGAAATGTGTATGTGGGAGCTGTCAATTGGTTGTACAGGTTGGAAAGTAGTTTGAAAATGATACAGAATGCTTCAACCTGTAATGACAGCAGGTCGGATAGTATGATGCCCTGCCAGCTTACAAATAACTACAACAAGATACTGGTAGTTGACAGTACTCGGCCAAACAGTTTGATAACCTGTGGCGGTGTGTATGATGGTATTTGTCAGTTACGACAGTTACAGGATATCAGGAACGTGATTGTGGAGACTGTTCCTTACGTTGCTGGGTTTGAGGAAGCATCTACTGTTAGTCTGATTGCTCCAAGAAGAAGTGGACAAGAAATGCTTTATGTGGCTGTTACATATGGTGGGAAAAACATTGATAATTCGGGAAACTTTCCAGCAATAACAAGAAGAAATCTTGAAGGGTACCCCTCTTTACCAGCACCGAATGAGGACCGTGTTATCTTAATTAGGGATGCCATACATGCCAATTACAAGATAAAATATGTTAGATCATTTGCCCACAGTGGATTCACCTACTTCGTCTCCTCTCAGAAAGAAGATTTGAATTCTGCCCAGTTTGTTTCTAAGATGAGCAGAGTCTGTCAAGGCGGTCGGAACCTAGACGCCTACACAGAAATTACCCTACAGTGCAGTGGATCAGATGGCAGTGTGTACAGCTTGGTGCAAGCAGCTCACTTTGGACCAGCAGGACCTGATCTAGCGGCATCATTGGGTCTCCATGCAGACGAGCAGGTGCTGTATGCTGTGTTTGCCAAGAACCAAGGAGCTCCGGGTACCAGTGATATACCCATCGATCACTCAGCATTATGTGTGTACAGGATGACGGATATCTTGGCTGCCTTCAGAGAAGCAGTGCGGGGATGTATTCAGAATGGAAATACGTACTCTGTTAACTATTTGCAGAATTCTTTTTGCAGTAGTTTCGGGGTGAGTACAGAAGCATATTTGAAATGATGTTGGCATTTCTCTAATGAGATTCAAGATGAATTCCCCGTGCTGTTTCGAGTTTCACCTCGAAAAGTAGATTGTTTTCCCAATTTGTATTTTCCTAGCAATATAATGTGTTTCACTTTTAAATGACACATTTTAACTTAAAAATCCACCAACGTTTAGATGCTCCTTTTTGTTCTCCCATGATTCTATTTTCATGTAACATCCTTATACTTATCGTACCCTTTATGGGAACAACTGGAGATGAAACACGATTTGGTAGCTCCAAAATACTCGTGATAAAATAAGGAAATGTTAAATCGTTCATATCCTTAAAGATATGGTAAAAGAGCTCAAATCATGGAAAATAAAGGAACGTGATTTATTGAATATGCCTCGGGTTAAAAAATAAAAAGCAATGATTTGGCTGGTAAGTCATTCCAGCACGAGACCCAAAACCCCTTTAAATAAGTTTAAACGTACCACAAAGTATGGAGCAATTATTTTACTGAGGAAAATAATTGGTCCAATCAGCAGTTCTAAAGAATGACAAAAGCACTGAGAAGCATTATGACTATGAATAGTGTGGATGTTATAACACAAATATACCTTTTCTACCGGGAAACGAAAGCCCAAATACTTCAACTATAATGCTCTATGCTCATATGTAGATATTGTTCACTTTTGGGTACGATGGCTGAAAAGTTTGTTAATTAAAGGCACATCAACAAAACAGAATCGTTGATCCGCAAATACCCCTGGGTATGTTATCTTTTCCCAAGGCCGGCTACGATCTGTACTGTAATTGTAGCTAATCGACAGCCCTGGTCTGATTATTGCCAGTAACGGGTGTGTTTGTCGGTTTTTCAATGTTAGCTCTGCACGCCATCGCAGGAGGCTAATTTAGGTTCAGAGCAATTATCAAACTGATTTACTTTTCAACTGAGGATCAATAATAATATAATAGATCGATATCTTGACTTTTATTGGGGAAAGGGGAGTTATGTCGGATTTTCTATGGACACTTGAGACTCAACTGCATTGGGCTCCAAAATTCATGGTGGTGCAGAAAAGAAGGAAACCCAATTTTGACAGGAATTTGAACCTTAACTTATTTGAACTGTTTTTTTTTTTATAATGTAGCATAAAGTATAGCTCTTCAACCATACATGGTGAAAAAATCTGTTAAAAATCGCAAGAATAGTGATATTATGCTAACTTGAATACAAGTCACCAAAATCACGTGAAGGTCTAGTGTAGTGGGGTTTTTGTGTCTTTAATCAAGTTTCGGAGCTCAGTCAAGCGGATGCATTGGAATAAAGCCGTCCGTAGACAAACAGGTTTTGCACATACTATTTTTAAACTACCCTATCTCAGAGACAAAATATGCATGGGCAATAATTTTTTTGCGCACTTACGTTTACAGATCAACATTTTAATGCCATTAAATTGAATTTTTGAAATCTGCTTAACAAGTAGGTGAAAATTGCTGTCAAAAGTGGGTTTCCTTCTTTTTGCACCACCCTGTAGTACGTAGCCTCGCTATATACAGTAGGCCTATATGCAGCGAGTAATATTTTGAAATGGAGCGAGCAACATATGTTTTATAAAAAAAAATCTAATTCGGTCACATTCTTTTTGACTCGCCCTGTATGTATTACAAATAAGCCGTTATTGCAATTTGACAATATTAATTTATTTTGTATTTTCACGTACTCTAAGCTGCACATTCTGAAATTAAAGTAAAATTGAGTCCAGATTTTTAGAATAGTTTTCACATATATATTTTTAAACCAACGATTCGGAAGACGAAAACCTATGAAATTTTAAATTTAAAAACACGTCAGGTTGAAAAAGTTGATGGAGATTTTACTTGTCCAAAACGTGACCGTGCAAGTGAAAATTGCATATATGCGTGCATTGGAAGGCCCAAATTCAAACTTCGATAATTTCTGTGAAATAGAAAAATGTGAATCACTAAATGCCACATTTTGCTCATCATTCGTGTAGGGAATGGGCCTTCATTATTAACCAAAATAGCGCGTCCAGACAGAATGGTTTTGTTGGGGAGTTTACCCTTTTTGTGACTTATATACCATTCATAATTGTATTGACCACATGCGGTGTGTTAGTAAATAAAAGAAAGGTCCGGATAATCTGACCCTTATTCTCAGCGAGTTGCAGAATGTTATAAAAGTCACAGCTTTCCAATCGGTGTTACTTTGGAGGCCCTTAAATGTGTTCAAACAATACATAGCAAACCTGATATGTCAAGTCAAGCCCCCTTCGTCCCGAAACTCCACCTCATTTTAAAGGGAATATACATCATTTGCTTTTGCTGTAATTTTCAGAAATGGATGGAATTTGGGGGTTGGAAATATATAGCAAATATAGTTACACTGACTTTTTTGAGGTTTTGGGTTCGAAAATGCTATAAAAACCAAGAAAAACGATATTTTCCTGTAGTCTGGTTCCCTGACTCCATATAAGAAGAAACAGAGCAGTTTACATACATTGGGGAATTGTAAGGTCAGGGAACCAGTTTAGCTGGCTCGTACCCGTTCATAGGTTTGTAATCGATTGCAAACAACTGCGATGGTCAACTGGGGCCAGTATTTGAAAAAAGTCAGTTGTTTCCAACGCTGATCGGCCGATCAGCGTTGGAAATTGATACAAAAATACCACTTTTCTTGAAAATGACAGTATACCAGGTGCCATGATTTTACAGGATGCTTTACACTATCATTCACTAACAGTCCAGCAAGGTATTTCAAAATGATTTGGTAGTTTTATTTTTTGATGTTTGCAAATGTTGTATTTTCCCTTTAAGGCTGAACCTTTGAAATTGTTTTTGTTTTGCAGAATATATGCAAACTATAACAATTTAAATGGGTTCAAAGTTGTGTGTTAGGTTGAACAAGAAAACCTTGTTTGCAATCCTCTGGCTGATATACATCAATGTGATATAAACACACTAAAGCACCCATTCTCGTTTCATCAACGACTCTCCTTGAACTCCCCGGATTTGTGTGTCGTTGATAATTGCAAATTACCCCCGTTGAACCAAGCTATTGCTTGAACTGAGACATCGAGTAGAGATCTGTTTAATTATTCTTCTTCTTTCTAATTTCGTTATAGATTCCCATTCTGGATCGCTATTTCTGCACACCCGTGACCAATGATGCTACTCAAACGCCACTATTCAAGTACGCCAAGGGCACAGACCCCGTTCCATCCACGGCAATTCTAGAGCTGCCTGGTACTCTCATGTCATCCATCATAACCACTATAGAAGTCAACCACACAATCGCTTTAATCGGAACATCGAGTGGAGTTCTACTGAAGGTAAATTAACCCTAATCGATTTAAAAGTGTCACTGAAGGCGTCGTAGAGCCTAAATTGGACAGTTTAGAAACAGTTTTATTTCAAACCATTTCGTTTACATCCCTTGCACTCGAGACTTTAGTTTTTAGCACGACGCATTAATTCTCGAAAGTTATTGATATTTTTTTGAATGAGAAACAAATCAGCTAGTTTTCTCTTAATAAATTGGCTTGCAAGCAGTGCGTGGTTGCCCGTGGTAATATCAACAAATCCGTGTCAAACTTCTTAACTCTCTCTTTACAATGTAGGTGTAAACAGATGTATTTAAGTCCTATGTGTCTCATAATTATGCATCTTGTCATTAGGTTCATATGGAAAGTAACACTGCCAGCCGACTTTATGAACGCATTAGCGTTGACACCAGTCCAGTTCTGCCAGATGTCAATGTTAATGAAACAACAAGTGTACTATTTCTCTTGATGGAACAAAAGGTAAGCGCATACCTAACCTGCCGAGGAGGAATGCTTTTAACTGAATAATAACTTTCTCTGCTCCATTTAGCATTCCCCGTGGACTTCGCATTAACAGAAAAGTTGACAGATTTGTCAACAGAAAAGTCAAAAACTAAGCTGACAAGCAAACGTGTTGTTTTAACAGCAACTAGATTTCCAGTCATTTATGAAAAGCCAAAGAAACCATTCGGTGCTTTGAATATTATTTATAACAACGAAAAGCACAGCAAATCTGGCCAAATGCACACAATAAACATTGTTCCTTTGCTTCGTAAACTAAAAACCAGATTCAAGATGGTAAAAAAAAAAACAAGTTTCCTGATGAAATCAAATACTTTTTTTCTCAACATTAAGATTTAAAAAAAAAGGACAATTTGTTCTACACTTTAGTTGGTGAAGCTTCGTGTGGAGAATTGTAGCCAATACACTACATGCGAAACGTGTATTGGGACTGATGCAGGGAATGATGGAGACCCATATTGTGGATGGTGCACACTGGAACGAAAGTAAGTCATACGGGATGTCTCCAAAGTGTGTGAATGGGTCGTTCGAGAAGTTGTAAGAACGGTAGTCTATCACCACTCAGACGGGGTGCAACAATTAGATCTGATCCATTAATAATGTAGGTACAACTGTATAAGTTGTGCACTCTGGAATGGAAGTAATAGGAGAGTTCCGATAGCTGTTCAGTCTAGTTGAGTGTCAGTGAAAGAAATTTCATATGGTTAATACAGAGTTCAAGGAGCCTATTGATTGTAAGGGTTGTCCGATGTTATTTGTACGTAGAGAATCTTCGTGCGATTCATTAAATTCAGTGGTGACTTAACCATGTTTCTTGATGAAATCTTGAAAGTAGGGCATTTCATGTTTTCAATTTTGGTTTTTGGCTTCTGGTCACTGTCGACTACCAAGCTACCCTGGTCATGTGATAACATTGAATTCTTCCCCAGATGTACGAGATATCCAGACTGTCCATCACCTGATGTATCTACTCGATGGTTGGCCTACAATGCTGCTCAGTGCATTAATATTACCGATGTAGCTCCCTATGATAACCTGCCAATCACAGTCACTGAGCAACAGGTGAGCTGGAGCCAGATGGATTGAAATTACATCTTACTCACATCCTTATGGGAACAAAATTGAAACATCCTTACAATTAAACACTTACTTCAAAGTGCAGAATTGTTATGGACTTATCCAGATAGGTATATATATGCAGAAATATTTTTGTCAATGCGACGCCTATACTTGTATAGTTCAAGCGACGCCTATAGTTCAATCATATAGGGCATAATCATTTTGCCTCCTCAATTGAGATGAGTAAATATTGTTAGCAATTGATTTTCTGTATTCTTAATGAATTTTAGCTTTGTACAGAGACCTGATGGGTATTTGATGTCAAACGTCTTTAAATATGTTTTAAAATGTGTGACTCTCTAAGAAAATAGTTTATCATGCGTCGGAATGATTCAGAATGTCGTGCTTCATGTACTATACCTGTCACTCATTCTCAGTCATTTGGAGCTCACCAAATGTTATTTCAATCTGTCTTTAGTACCCCTGACCAATGGAGCTAACTCTTGGAGTTCATAGCATATTAATAAAATAAATATTATTATTCATTATATCTTTTTTTCCTTTCACTTTTAGATCACCCTGACTGTGCAACAGTTACCTGATCTACGGACAGGCCAGAGTTATGAATGTCATTTCGGGTCATTCGAATCTCCAGCTACGAAGAATGGTGAAGTACTAGAGTGTACGTCACCTCCTAGTGATGGGATACCTGCCATTTCACAAGGAGGCAAGTGCAATAAGAGAAATGCATAAGAAGTTATTTATTGCAAAATATACAGAACAAGCATTCAAAAAGTCGACTTATAGTCTCCTTCTTGTCCATTCTAGAATGGAATGATGCTTGTAAACCAGCGTGTCGTTTTTCATTCAATCGCATCATTGGGCCAATCATAAGGATATCAACAGAGAATGTGTTCATAGGCAGTACAATATGGTACACCAAAATGCTTTCCGTAAGCATGAAAATAATGTCTGCATTTGGTACTCACAAAAAAGGTTTAAAATGCACGCTTATTTTTGTTATTATCTGTTTCAACTGATAAACGCAGAGACTTGTTCTTATTTATTGCTTAGATGATGCAGTACACGTAGATTTGGGTGTCGATTCATCTGAAACTTCAGTTCAATTCATAGACGCCAACTTCTACTTCTATGAGTGTTCAACGCACACTTCGTGAGTATTTGTGTTTATATACCCTGTTAATCAGTTGTATTTGAAATTCAAGTTGTTTTCCTTTAGGTTGTTTTGTAGTATACATTTGCCGATGATTTTTTAATCTTTGAGTTTATGCAATTTCTCTTTAGTTTGTTTTTTAATCTTTGTATATATGCAATTCTTTGGTTGTTTTCGTAGCTGTGTATCCTGCGTTGGTAGTCGCTGGGCCTGCGATTGGTGCGTGTTTGACAACAGATGTACTCATGAAAGCTCCACATGCACACGTGCTAATGAAATCATCATTACTGGAGATAACGTAAGAACAAAACTATAAGAGCTAAGCCGATACGAATTTTAAATCTCTTGATTGTAGAATCCTATATGTCGACTATTCACTAAACACGTATTTTGTGCATTAGTTATTGAAAGCGACACTAATTGTTATGTACTCCTCCCATTAAGCACACGTGGAAGTATCTGAAATTATATTTTTATTTCAGAATTTAGCTAATTTCTATCAGATGTCTGTTGATCATTTCAAATCGAAGCAGATGTATATTTTGGGGTTCAGGCAATGACATAGTTTGTTGTTTGTTGGCGTTTACCTACAGAATCCAACCGCCTCTGCAGTCAAAGGACTTGAGTTTTGCCCTCAACTGCTGAATCAGACTGCTGAAGTTCTGCTTCCTAATGACATTATGAGGAACATAACTGTCATGACTACAAACCTGCCAGACGAAACTGAGGTTTGTTTATTAATGGCTGGGAAAAAAAACAGTGTCAGTCTGTAAGTGATGTCCACGTTAAGCCCCGTCTATCAGAAAATTCCCCCGTCAATGCCTGATAGTGACATTTTTCAAAATTTCTCTGAGTCCACTTTCCGCTTTCCTAATTCTTTTTCGAAGAAAAAAATACAATTTCCCCTTGGAATACTTGATGAAATAGTTTGCTAAATGCTATTGGTCTAGACATCTGACCTTCTTTATGACATTCAATGCAAAGTGATATGCGAAGTTATCATTAATTGTTTGATAACAAGACCCTTTGGACCGTATGCACTTAAGGTGGGCCCGAGCAGTTTGCAAATGCTTCCTGCATCCTATATAATTATATATACTGTTATCATCGTAAACATTGCATGTGCTTAGAAAGAGGTTAATGTTGTTTGGGTGATAAGCTGCAATTGCCCTTTGTTGGCAATGCAAATTATTATGCATGTCTACATTATATCGGTTAACCTTTATTGGATTTGCTGAATAACTGCATTAAAAATGTTGCGTCGCATTGTCAAGTATTGAGCTTTTAAAGAACGCTGTTTACTTTATAAGACCTTCACTAGAGTCTATGAAACGCAGGTATGATGGGGATAATACTGCCGAGTACTTCTTAGTTTTACTCTTTCCATACTTTCTTAACTCACCCTTTTATTACACCCTTTGTTTGTTTTCCATGTGCAGATTTCTAGCTATCAATGCAGCTTATATGTAGAGGGATCACTTCAGGCTGTTAATGCAGATCGCAATGGTGATAGGATCACATGCCAAGAGAAGGCTGTATGTTATTCTTAAACTTATTTTGTGCATTGGATTGCTAATGTTTTTATGAGAATGAAAGCTATCATTTATTTTGCATACTGGCCGGACACAATGTTTAGCTTCAGGTATATTAAAAGGTAACGTTGCTTGCTTGCCCTCAACAGTACACTTACCTCTCCAATGGTGAACCAGAGATGGAAGTGAAACTGACTGTTTCATGGACTGACACAAGCGGTGCTGCGCACATCCTAGATGACATACATGGATATAAGGGTAAGGAATAAGGACTGATGGAGGAGATTTACGCTTTCGTCAGTCTAACATATGTTTATGTATACTTTTCATTGACCTGTTATCAACAGTTTTGCATCATGGAGATTGTTCTTTAAAATACTGAATATTGAATTCACGGTAAAGTTCTTGCAAGAAATGATATTAATTATATCAAATTTCTGCTCGTATCAAATAGCAACATTGTACAAATGTGAAGTCCAGAAGCCAGACTGCAGCCGTTGTGTTACAGCCCGCCCAGCGCTCGAATGTGTTTGGTGTGGTGCCACGCCGAGCGAGTCTGGTGTTTGCAAACTGACTGAAATTTGCAGTGAAAATAGGGTGACTTTGGATAACGGATTGAACTGCCCTGATCCAGTTCTGAGCGAGGTAAATAATATACAACCATCTAGTTGAATATTATTCGCTTTGAAGTATCTTGAATTTTTTTTAAATTAATATTCCAGGCGAGGATACTTGTCAACATGTTTGTAATTATCCATAGTTTTCACAAAGTATCAAAGACTACTGCCACCAAATGAAGCACACCTTGTATTCATTTGACCTGCCTTTGTGACAAGGTAAAAAAGGGAAATTTTGTCATGTTCAAGATGAAAAAAAAACCTCAATTTGTATGACTGCATAAGCAGAGGTGTATGGTCTATAAAGTAGGCTTATATGGATGACTGCATATGAGCCACCTAGCTGAGCAAGTTGTCTTTCAAGAGCATTTACCAATGCATCTTTACTAATAATGTGTTGTATTTAAATGCATTGTTTTTTATGTTACATGTACTTGCTTTTGTGTGTCATGTTTATTATTGTTTTAAAAATCACGCATTAGGTATTTCCCTTGACTGGGCCCATTGAAGGCAACACAGTCATAAATGTGATGGGAACTGATATCGGTCGGAGATTTGAGGATGTTTTGAGTGTGATGGTTGGCAATCAGCCCTGTGATCTGGCTGGATTAAACTCAGACTACCAAATTGGAGCAAGGTAGGGTCAAATCATGCTTTATGCAAGGACATTACCTTTTTATTCAAGCTTTGACTAATGGTCACCTATTCAGTTCTTCTTCTTTATGTAAACATTTGGTTTTAATCTTTCTAACTAAAGTATTTTGTCCTCTGTCAGTTATAATACGTTTTTTCAGCATTTATAGGCGATGTCGTCATGCCGTGCATACAACTTATTTGGATTTCTAATCAATTTTTTTCCTCCTTTTCTTAATGTCACATATCACTTTATGTTTCAGTGTCAGCTGCAGAACGAGAGCAGAAAGTGAAGGAGCCGAGTTTGTTACGTTGACAGTCACGGGTGCGGACGGTACAATGCAACACAGCTCAGGAACAGTCAACTTTAACTTCAAAGTAAGTCATGTTCTGCACGCACTCGTTTACACTGACTCAGCCACTGAGGAACCTTCTTGGAAAAGGAACAAGCGTCCAAGAAATTTTTTTTACACTGAAATAGTAATCACGGAATGTATGATCGCGAAAGAGGTCTGTTCACGAACGTTCTTTTCTTAGCAGTTCGACACCGCATTATGTCAGCTGGAGCAATGATGAGATATACTTTAGCTGAATTAGTTGATAATTTTACACCAAAAATTTTATGTTTGAGTTGAGGATATTTGGGAAAATCCCAGGCATTTGAGTGAATTTCCTAAAACGTAGGTCAGAATTACGTTTGAAACGTCAAAATATTTAAAATAAATAATACTCGAGGACTCTATGCACGAATATCTAGCAAATACTTATTCCAACAATAATATAATATAACAATAATATAATTGTTGTGAAAATTGTGTGAGAGACAAACACAGTTCTAGAAATGTTTTTTTTGTCAACAGGACCCAGCGATTACCCATTTCCAACCCCGCCTCGGCCCAGAAGCCGGTGGGACGGCAGTGAGTGTGAATGGTTCGGCCCTCAACACAGGACGCGATATTGAAGCGTTCATCGGCGACTATCCTTGCAACATAACAGGGTATTGTGTCTCTTTCCTAATACACAGTTGTTTGTACGATAATTATTAATTCAGGAAGAAAAGGAAGCTCCCCAACATTGGTGCAATCTTTAGTTTCAAAAAATCATTTCGACTTCTATCAAACTTCAGTTAAAAGGATTTTCCTTTCCCACCTTTGTGGAAGGGATTTTGTTAGTTATAGATTTTATTATAAAAATCTGCTTTATCCTATTCTGTAGAATTGCTCTAAATTCGTCCAATTTCGAATTACCTTGAGACATTGCTATACATCCATTCAGTATTAAGGAGCATCATACACAAAGATGAATTCAAGTTTACGCCAGGCGCGGTCTAGAGCCTATATTTTTGGGGCTAGCATGTATGGATCCTGAATTTTTTGCCGGGAGGCGTGCTGAAATTTAGACCGGTTTTTATCAGGCCTCCGAGGGGGGGGGGGGGGGGGGGAGAGGGCCTCGTACCATATTTTCTATGAGGAGCTCTGATAAAGTCTTACAATCGTGCACACTATATTACCAAACGGTGGACAAATGCCCCCTTCAATTTTAGTTTTTTTAGGGGGGGGGGGGGGACAAGTCGCATGTGACGTCAAATTCCTAAATTGGCTACTGGCATTTTTTTTAATAGAATTTTTTTTTTGGATGGGGGGGGGTGGCTAGACAACATTTTGGGGCCTAAAGACCCCCCCCCCCCCAGCCTCCTGTAGAACCACGCCTGGTAAAAATCTCTGCAGAAAGCTTAACTGTGATTTTTTATTTCTCTCCCAAATTGTTAAGCAAACCGGTTGAATCCATGCTAGAATGCACAACCCCTGTTGGCCAAGTTGGATATCAAGGTGTTGTGAAAGTCTCTTTTGATGGGGCCATGAGAACCTCATCAGATATGTACACGTACGCTGAGAATCCCACCATTACTGGTGTGTCTCCTCTGAAAAGCATCGTTTCGTAAGTCTACATGATTTTTTTTGTCTTCATCTGTTTTACCATGGGCTATATACTTCAATTGGCATCATCAACATTATTAGTAAATCATTACAGACTGTATTGTTCAAAGAGAATTTCGGTGTTTTAAAACTTTTTAAATGCAAACAAAAAATGGAGTAAAAAGAAATTTTTGTCGGGGTATTAATTTTGTGAAATGTTATGTTTCTATTGTAAGGCACGCTTTCAAGACAGCAAGCTTACAGCCAAATTTATGCTTAATTGTTTTAAGAAGCAGGTTACTACAAATCATCTTATCACCGAAGATACTGATAAATCAGTGAACAGTGAAATATTATGCTTTATTCTAAACTTCAAAATGTCATTATTATTATATCAAAAGTGAACATGTGTGTATACATTTCTAAATTATTTAAATTGATTTTATACATCAACCAGTATCTTTCAGTGTAGACCTTATTTTCAGTATTTGCTATCGGTGTTTCTGATTGTCAGGGGTGGTCGAATTTTGAACGTTACTGGCACTTTTCTAAACACAAGTGGAAACCGTCAAATCGTTGTCACTAATGGAAACGGTGATCGTAAAGTGGAGGTGAGAAATGTGTTTGATCTCTGAATAAATGATTTTATATCTGCCCTATCCTTGCTCAACCTCCCCTTAACCACCGATCTCTATCTACTTGCTCCACTATTGCAACATATATAATTAGGAAGCTTTTTAAATCCTTTACTTTTTCAAATTTTGTTCAGTTACCGCGAACGACCACTTTTAATGTGAAAATGGCAATAAGTGTACTATGTAAAGTGTGGCAGCCATTACATCATGAAACACATTTCTGTTTTGAAGTAGAAACAAAGAGAGGTGCCATATTGTCAACCAGAGCTAATGCTGACCAGAATTGTCAACTGATGACGTCTTTATTTTGCAGGAATGTGAAGTTAAATCTGCAACAAAGATGTTATGCTTGTCTCCTAACATAACAGACCTTGTCAGAGATCAATGAAACATTTGGCTTCATCATGGATGGGGTCACTCAACTGTTGGCATGGTCTGAGGATAACGATGTCCACCTGGAGTTCTTTGAGGATCCAGTGATCCTAAAAAGGAAATATTTTAAAACTTCTATATTGCTGAGTTACCGCGGACGACCACTTTAAATGTAAAAATGGCAAAAAGGGTACTATGTTAAGTGAGGCAGCCATTACATCATCAAAATCCATTTCTGTTTTTAAGTAGAAACAAAGAGAGGTGCCATTGTCAACCGGAGCTAATGCTGACCAGAATTGTCAACTGACTGATGTGGGTCTTTATTTTGCAGGAATGTCAAGTTAAATCTGCAACAGAGATGCGGTGCCCGTCTCCTAACGTAACAGACCTCGACATGAGCAATGCAAACTTGACCTTTGGCTTCATCATGGATGGGGTCACTCAACTGTTGACATGGTCTCAGGATAACGATGTCGACTTGAAGTACTTTGAGGATCCAGTGTATGATGAATTTGAAGGTGGTACGAAGAACAAAGAAGGAGAAACCCTGACAATCATGGTTGGTATACGTGTTTTATTCTATGTGTTTATCCTTTTCATTGTTGTGTTTTTTTCTATGAGTAGATATGGGGTCTGTCGGTCAAAGTGCACGAAGCACACTTACACAGTGCTTTGTGAAGTGACATCACCTCTCATATGTGACTAGGGATAAATTCAAGTTTGATATCTCTTCCTCCTGAATTAAGTGGATCTTCCAAAAAAACAGTAGGCCTAACTTGGTAACTCTTGCTGAGTTACAAAACTTCATTAGCTCAGATCATTTATTGCAAAGCAAATCTAGATGTGATGTGAAATAACAATTAAGGTTCTTTGTTTTTTACCTCAGTCCTCACACGGTGTGTATAGGAATAAATACATGAAAAACGACAGAAAGTCTTACGTGTGATACGGCTATATGACCTTTTTATTTAGAAATAAAACAAGTGTTGCACATTTTGTCACAACCGAAAAGACTAAATTCTTCCGAAATATACCAATGCAGATACCAATAAATTTCCTTTAAAACTATTTAACTTAAATTACTTGTGGATGCTTTAACAGGGCAAGCGGATTAAAAGCGCCATCACAGCTGTAGAAATCAAGGTGACGATCGGCGAAGAGAGCTGTGACGTCAACTTGATCAGTGAGACATCACTCGTATGTGAATTGCCCGATGAGGCACCAGCAGCCGGGGACTTCATGGGAAAAGATACCGGGATAGGTCTGCCTGTGGTATGGGTAAGTTAGAGGCGGATCCATGTTTGAGGGTGGGGGTTGGGGAGGTTAGGTGTCAAGTGTTCTTTTTGTTTTTGATTTTTTCCTTCTTTTGCGGCCCCAAGGGGGAAGTTTATCCTTTTCTTTTTCGGTTGAACATCTGTTATACTCAATCCGAAAGGTTCAAAAACGCCCAAAATTCGGCCTGTTCCCCCCAAAACGTAATTACACTACTTTTTCATTATTGATTGTTTCTTCAAAAGTAATTATTATAACGTCGACATTAACGAATTGGTTAAGTCTAATCAGTTGTTGAATTGTTTATCATTTCATTTGTATTATTACATAGGTGCGCCACAATAACTTACAATTTAGGTTGGGCTACTTGGTCTATCCCAGTACGGTGCCACTTGTCGCTATACTTGTACCGAGTTTGGTCATTCCACTCTCCATGGCGATACTGCTCGCTGCTACCTTAGTGTATTGCAAACAGTTGCAAAGGAAGCGCACCCACGACCGAAGACTATTGGGCAGGATAGTGGCGATTCATCTCGGTAAGTGCTGGTGGCAAGAGATGACTTCAGTGTACTCGAATATTTAATTCCGGAGTGCTAGAAACAGGTACGTGCACAAAACTGCGGTGAAGAGAGAGTATCATCTCAGTCTATATGAGTATGCTCTTGTAAGTTAAAATCACTTGACCGCAAGACGGCGAAATGGTAAACAACACGAAACCCTTTCAAATTTCAAAGCCAATTATCCTTCATCACTTGAGTTTACCGGCTACTTGTCAATTCCTAATTTTCAAGCATAATTATGATAGTTTAGAAAAAAATTAAACAGTACGTAGCTGCACATCTCGGTATTAAATTATGTTCTACTTCTAAAAAAACTCTCAAGATGGCTGCTAATGGGCAGCCTGTTTTGATGGTAAAATACATGGCAAAAGAATTCAAATGGCGTGCTCCTCGTTTGACTGTAAATTGTCAAGTTGTAGACAGGATGAAACAAATTTTTCTACAAAAACAAAAATAAATATCGAACTCTTGTGTCAAGATTGTGTTTACCATTTTAGACAACTTGTGAATCTTGTGTAGCATGCAAAGGTTGTTTTGTCTGTTGATTTGTAAGCCTGAACGTGCTCGTAAACCAACCACTATATTACGTTATTTACTGTTAATGCGACATTGTATCACTTTTCTTCAGAAATTGACTCCCACGTCAAAAGACGCAGGTGGTATAGATCCCAGAAACAGTCGGAATCTGCTCAGCCAAAACAAAAGCGCATTGTCCTGAACAACAAGGTCAGCTTCGTTCCCGACGACATTCATATCGACTTCAGCCAGCTGGAATTGGGAGAGACTCTCGGACAAGGTAAAGACTTTGTACGAGGAAACACTGAACATTTCATGAGTTCAAAGTGTAAGCTTTTATTTTACGTGAGAAGGAGAGGCCTACATAAAGGGGCTGTGTGTGCAAACCGTTATTGGCGTGATTGAAACACATTTTCACGTTTCGACCTAGGAAATTATTTAGGCTCGGCCAGTCGCTGGGTCTGTTAGTAAGTCGGTAGGTCGGTTGGTCTGCCAGCTGGCTAGTCTTCGGGACCAGCAAAAGATTATCAGTACAGATGAGTATAATACATTTGACCAAATTTTACAGGTGCATTTGGGCGTGTACTGAAAGCTGTTCTACACGATACACCCGGAGAAGATCAAATTGTGGCTGTGAAGACAGTGCAAGGTTGGTGACGAGAATGTCAGCCATTTGAGAGAGATGTTTGCTATGACAGTGTAGATTCGAAACAAAGCATTGAAATGTTGTTCCTCGGTTGAAAAAGGCCCATTTCAAAATGCTATGAATTTTGGTCTCGAGTATATGGATGACCTTATACCGAGAAAGAGGAACTAAACAACATTAATCGTTGTGCGTCTTGAATGAAAGAGCTGAAAGAGTCTTTTCATTCAGAATTGCGAATTGTTGGTTGTAAAATGTTCTTGAACTGAATTGAATGTTCTCCGGTGTCACTGGGTTATTGCATTTCTGTGGTGATGAAAATAAGTTGAAATACAAGTTCCTGTTTTTGTGTTGTATCTTGGCCAAATGTGAGCAGGGCGTGCCAGTTATCACATATAAATGCCTTACTGTTGCATGTATAGACACCTCGGACCCGAAAAATGTGGTGAAGTTCCTGGAGGAAGGCCTGATCATGAAAACCTTCGACCATGTCAACGTGCTGGGGCTTCTGGGGTTGACCTTTGACGCGGACAAAAACCCCTTGGTGGTGATACCCTTCATGGCAAACGGTGACCTCAAGACATATCTGGTCAAGAAGAAACAGGTATTATTCAGGAGCGATCAATGTCGATAATAAGTAGATGAAGGTTCGATAAAAGAATTGTTGATGAGTGGCATGAGTTTGGAACTGACTTAATGGTAATTTTGGTAGAGGTTGTTACGTTTGATAATTAATATTAAGATTTATTAAACAAAATGCAGTCCCATTTCGTAAACAGTATGTCATGTGTTTTGTTCTGAGTGTGGTATTTATTTATTCATTGGAGGTTTTTACTTTTAATTTAGACCTTGGCGACATCTCTGCTGATGAGGTTTGCCTCACATGCTGCACTCGGTATGAGTTACTTGGCTCAGCACAAGTTTGTACACAGAGATCTTGCGGCCAGAAATTGCATGTAAGTGTATCCTCTCTTCTATATCATCTGGGGCTTTTACAAATTTCTTTATATGTGTGTTTGAGTAAAAGCAAAATTAGACCTCGGATGTTTCCGAGAGAAATCGGTCAGCTGTTTCATCGAAAATAATTTTAATGCACCAGAGATACCAGGGGACATGCATTCATTGAATTAACTCAAGACTTCGAACTAATGGCATTGCAATTCTTAAATGATTTGATCCCAAAGTAAAATCAACGTTTAACAACCTCTTTAGGGTGAACAGTGATCTTGTGGTGAAGATAGCTGATTTTGGACTGTCCCGTGACATGCACGACTCGGATTACTACACAAGCGGCGATGCCCAGGCTAAGCTGCCTATCAAATGGATGGCTCCCGAGTCCATGGAACGTCGAGTGTACAACGCCAGGACTGACGTGGTACGCAATTAAATCCATCTTTGATTGGAATGTTAGATGATGTTTAGATAAAGATCTTAACGGAAAAGAAAGCAAAACCCATCTCTTTGCGTTCTGTGGACTATCCATCAAAGAGAAACTACATGAACTTCGATGTCCAGCCACAAAAAATTTATTGATAATTTCGATTTATTGATAATTTTCATCGGATATGTTTTCAAGGCGCCTGACCCTCGTCTGGAGTATTTCGTCTTAAGACTCCCACCTCTATAACTAATTTCTAAGTTAACTTACTAAGGCCAAAAAAGTCTCCGGTTGCTGGTATAGAGCTTGCCCAAAAAGTGGTGCGGCGACGCGGCTTTTATTTTTCCTGTTTTTTTTTGTTTTGCTTCAAATGTCGGCTGATGACTGCAAATGGTGCCTGACTAAACTTAGTGCAAATACATTGGAGTCCAGAGAGGCCACATAAAGCTTACTCTCGATCATAACCCCATCCAAAAACACGTTAAAATTGTGCAGCAGCAGGATTCCAGTCAAACCAGTGAGTTTGGCGGTTTTGAGACATCATCTTTTATTGAAACAAAAATAATTTAATTTTGCCGACGCGCATGGCTACGGCGACGCGCGCGCATACCAGAAACTGGAGACATTTTTTGGCCTAATGAACGTTGTTTTTTTCCCATTTGACACAAGATCTCATTAAACAGTTCAATAAAGCCTCAAATACAATATGTGATTTGATCAATCTTCGTTAATCTTGGCTACCCTTTCCAGCTTGCTCATGTCAACTGTTCGGTAGCTCAATTGAATAGGCATCATTAGAATGGTATCTTACATTGAAAAATATTTATCTTCTTTGGTTTTCTACAGTGGTCATACGGTGTGCTCCTGTGGGAGATTTTCGGTAAGGGTTCCAAACCGTATCCAGGAATACCCAACCAAGATGTGTATGATTTCTTGAAGAGTGGTCAACGCATGGCTGCTCCCAAGAACTGCCCGCCAGAAATGTATGTTCAAACAGCGGTCACCATTACCTTTAACAATACATGAAACACATTTAATGTCGTTTTAACTGCTGTAGAAGTATGCATGGTTCTTAGATATTTTACTAAATTCTTTCTATAGGTGAAGGGATCTTAATGCATCTATTTTACTCTCAGGGGTTTTACACAATTGAAAGTAGGTATAACACTCTCTAGTTGGTTGTGAGAAACAGTGAAGAGTGTTTTGTTTGGGGTTTCAAATAAAAAAAGGGAAACTCAATTCTCGAACATTTCTCTCAAAAATGTAGGGTTAATGTGCTCGAGTAATCAGTAATAATGGAAAGTGTATTGTCGGGGGTTTCACGTACAAATGCAAACACAATTTGATATACGATCAAGCATGCAGCATCTAATGATTCTTGTTACATTTGCTGACTGATTCAGCTACGGCATAATGGTACGTTGCTGGCAGGACAACCCCAAGTCACGTTGCACCTTCGTCCAAGTTGCCAACGAGCTGGAAGAACTGTTGGAGGAAGACCGCGACTACGTAGCAACTCCTAGTGCGGGTGTGGTTGGTATGCGACCCATCGAACATCGCGAAGAACCTGGTGTCAAAGACGACAGCTATCTGGTCCCGATGCAGCAGGAGACCGCCTTTGGTGCTGACGGCCCGTGTAGTGACGGAGAAACCAGCGGGAGCCATGCGACCGCCGCCCATGATCCCTTGGATTATGTCAATAAAATTGTCATTAGATAAGTGACGTGCAAATTCACATATAAGAAATATCCGAAAAGAAAATGGTTTGAAGAAAAAAGTCTGTTTCAAGTGGCCAATATATTAAAATCATTATTGATCAAGATGGATCTATAGGACACACTCCTTGCTCACTTTCATTCCTTAGAAAAAGGATTTGACCTTTCTAGTTATTTCTCTCCGTGTATTGGAATGAAATTGTTTACAATATATAGAAGGTGGCAGGCTAAACTAATAGCTAAAGCATGGCTTTTTAAGCGTCTTAAACCAGTGCCAAATGCCTTTTTTTTCTGCGATTGACATTTTTGTTTATTGACAGTGGTATATTAATCTTAGGTAGTACTGTTGTTCACCATCATTGAATGAAACGTTCACAGATAAATATTTTGTTGAACTTCATAATATTCGGATTTCCCACAAATGAGTGCATGATTGTTTTTAAAGATAAATTTTTTTCACATTTTATAATAATACTTGAACCGTTTATTCTAAAATACACAGTGATTTTCCAGTATTGTATTATATAACCATTAACCATTGTACATTCCTGTACAAACAGTAAAATAATAATAAGCCATACAATGTTTATTTTCAATTGATAACTTGCCGACTGGGAAATTTCCTTACAGATTCCTGCAAGTTGCACAAAACATTTATCTCAAAATGGGTGAAGTTATCAATAAATTATCGACCGTCGGTATCGCTATCAAACTAAAAATTGGAGCAAACACTAATAGCAATGTTATTTTATTTAACGTATTGTACACAGTTGTTTTCAGCATTTAATTATTAAGTTAAATAGTGTATTACATAATTGACATAATTTGTATATTTGGAACACCAGTAAAGACCTATATACTTAGACAGATGACACGTGCATATGCATTTTTCTGCGAAATAAATATGAAATGTAGCTCATTTCATTGAGATGATATCTTGTTTACCTTTAAAAGTGTTTTAAAAAATGGTGAAAGGAGAGTGTTCTGTCGAAGGTGCAAAAAATAGCAATTTTGAAAAGAAGTTCTTTAAGCAAGGTAACGGAAGCTGCTCAATGGTTGCCAGTTTATGTAGAAAAACAAACTGACTTAACAGGTTAACAAAATACCAGAATAAGTTGGTTAATACCTTCGAAAGATTTATTTTAAAAAGTTGCAGAGTTGGAGATCTAACAATGATTGTAGTTAGCACCGAGTGCTGTATAAATGCTCATACATGTATTCGATTTTCATTTGATTTGATTTAATCTTGCTTTTGGATCATAATTCATTCGATACAGATATATATTTAATCACCTTTTTATTCAGATTATTAGCATTGCAATGGTATATTGCTAACTTATAGCCAACATTGAATTTCTGTTTAAAATGTTAAGACAAATTTTAGTTCAGATGTGTTGAATCACATACATTTCACAGACAGATCGATTTATCCGATGACTTTCTTGTTATTCTTATAGTTTTGGGGAGCAGGGTTGTTTGATTTGATTTATTTTATTTTAATCATTAATCTAAATCCTGGTTTAAATCAATACAAATCGACTAAAATCGGCATTTTTAAATTGAATGCTCCATCTGCATATATTCTATTACATAATTGACATTACTTGTTATATTTTCAGTACATGTACATGCAGGCCTGCTAGCTGACTAAATATCTGTTCTAACGCAATCGCGTGTGCACAGGTTTTCGCTTTAGTAGAGACATGATTGAGGGATATTCCATTGTCAACACAACTGTACCATTAGACTCTCATGAAAAAAAATGGAATCCCTTTGAATTGGTATTTAGTGGAGATTCATATATTCCTACAAACTAGTCTGTGAAGACAGATGCCACGTGCATATATGCATTATTTTGCCAAATTAATATGCGTTCTACCTTATGTAAAATTGCTGTATTTACATAATTTGCGTCGTGTTTTTTATGTGTGAAAGGAGAGGCATCTATCAAAGTTGTTTCAAAAATAAACACACCTTGGTAAAATAGTTCTTAATGAAAGGTTAATAATAATAAGGTAAGAAAAGCCGCTCACATATGTTGCCTCGATAATGCAAAAACACAACATGACTTAATTGCAGCTTTTATATGCGATATATTCGATATAATTCTATACGCTTAGTTGACTACGTTTATCTGAATATAATATCATACTGCGGAATTTAGCATATTCAAGCTTGTAAGTTGTATTTGTAGGCCCTACATGATTTTTGGTATTATGGTTACAGAGACATGAAAGTGATGTGAAAGCATGTCCTCACCATATTTGGGCAGGAGTGATACTATCCGGTTCGTAATTACTGCGTCATATACACGCGCGCGCACCACTGATCACTAGCGCCCATTGGCTAAGCACTCCAGATGCACTTACTTCCGGATCCATTGGTTCCAATGCCACACTATGTGCAGAAGCATGGTTAAGTTGAAATGACGTCACACTTACACACCGGATAAAGAGAAATGAAATACACTGCAGTGTTTTGACTCAGTGTTAATTGGTTTGTACGACTAAGTTCATCCCACCGTAAACACCTGAAAATGCATCAAGTAATAGCAAACTACCCTATTATTGACTTTTGTATAATGAGATTGGGGAAAATCCGGGCGACTCAAATAAAATAGGTTGTAGTCACAACATTGATACCAAAGACAGCAAATGCAGGTGAAAACGAATCTAAACAATGCAACAACCAGATAAAACTTTCCAGGGGATATTGACCTGTAAACACCGCCGGTTGGCTCAGGATTATACACGAATACTTCCCAATGTATTTCAAGTATTAGATTAGAAGTGTCGCTTGTATGATACTTCTAACGATGCAGGGGAACTGTAGCTAAGGTACTTTAAGGTTTGCAAGATGTACCTCATGCTCGCCTTCCTTCTCATCAGTGTTGAGACTGCATGGCAATGAAAGCGTTCCTCCTAGCAGCGGTGGATTGGAGTTTTCAACAAATGGGCGGGGCACTCAGAAAAGACGCCTCAGATTCCCTGTGGGATAAATTTGAAAACGGAGGATGACAAATATATTCGTTTGTATGCACGTTGACGTCTAGAATTGTTCATCAGTTTAAAAATTGATTTGATGAGGATCCAATGTTTCTCGTTCTCTCTCCTGTAGCATATACATTGTTCGTTCAAATTCGATTCGATTCATTATCGAACAATATTTCAAATAAATCGTCAGAGTTTGACAAACTGACGAATCTGTCCAGAACCGATCTTACAAACAATTTAGTATTGTTAAATATTCTAACATATTCATGATTGTTTTCATGATGATCTGCTAAAACTACATTCGCCGTTTGTTAAAGAGGTTGTGGAATGCTCGAAGTCATTTCCGTCATTTTTCGGGTATATGTAGCCTAAAGTGTGATGAAATAAAAACGACTATTGTTTCTGTCATAAAATGAGTACAAAAGGTACTTTTGAGAGCTGTTTTTCGAGTCCTGTCATGCCTGTTTCGACCCGAACGTGCAATTTGTGTAAAAGTCGTCGTTGCGGGCAGCAAACAAAACACAGTAAATCGTGACGTAATAAACAGGACTCCCGATGCAGAGTAGCATAAACGAGTCCTGTTTATTACGTCACAATTTACTGTGTTTTGTTTGCTGCCCGCAACGACGACTTTTACACAAATTGCACGTTCGGGTCGACACAAGACCTGAAAAATAGCTCTCAAAAGTACCATTTGTACTCATTTCATGACAGAAACAATAGTCGTTTTTATTTCATCACACCTTAGGCTACATATACCCAAAAAATGACGGAAATGTCTTCGAGCATTCCACAACCTCTTTAACTACGCTATAGTTACACAAAATGGCGAGTTTGTGGATACTCGTTTTTTGTGTGCTTTTGATTAAGTGACGTATCCCGATTCCTTATCAGTTCTAGAACACAATATTATAAAAAGACTTGACCAAAATCCAAAGTTATATCTGAAAAAAGAGGATGCCTTTCCAGCCTGCGCTCTCTGCTAATCATGCGCACAATAATAACGCCATACACCGTGTCGCACCGTCTGCTAATTACAAGCTGCAGTATTTTGCAGTCAGACCTAACTAGACTAACTACACGTTTGAATAAGTGTGAGACGGAAATTTTTCAGGACACAACAAAAGTGAGTAAAATCCATGAACATGATATGTGAAACAAAACAATCTATCATTGCCAATTTGACCAGTATTACCTGTGGATGGGATAAACCCTAACGTATGCACCAAGAAAACTAAAGTCGGTTCCCATCGTGTAAAAGTACCTCTCAAGGAAGTAGTTCAACCAAACCTTTGTTGAACTTGACACCGTCTTTGTAGTGCTTCTATAATACAGTCAGTGATTACTTCATCGAAACCAATGTTGATTAGTATTTGTCCAGCACTCCAGCAGTTGAATACACGTATTGTTAATATCGCCAGTTTGCTCCCGGAAGCGATATTTATTTGCCCTGCAGTTGAATATGCGTAATGTTAATAGCGTGAGTTTACTCACGGAAACAACTTGTGGTAATTCGTAGCTGGAGTCGCTCCCATAATGATGACATACCTTAGCAATTATATTTGCTTCGAGCTTAACAACTGTGACTTCACCTGTACATAATAAGTCATGTTTTGTAGAATTGTACACTCCGATAGACTTCTCTTTGTACGGCATGTGGAGTTGAACATTTTGGGTTTTGCGAGTGTAGGCTCAGCCGTTCATCAACACTTCTCTGTTGGTTGTCTCCAGTTATTCCTACACACCTCTTGTCAGTCGGGTAGACAACTCGATCCTTAGCTTCGTGATTTATCCAGACATGCTGGGTTTATTGCCAGAAAACGTTTTTGCTATCTCGTAATACTGGCATTATAAAAACAACAGAACCGGAGCATAACTGAAAACTAGACAGAGAGGTTATTGCGTGTCATGACGTGTCATGATGCAATACTGAATTTCTATGGTTCCATAATTGTTTTACGGAAATTTAACGGTGAAAAAGATTAGGACTACACTCTCTTTATAAAGGAATT